CACACACACACACACACACACACACACGCACGCACACACACACTGGAGCAGTGAGCGTAACGTCTTATAATGTCTTCCCTATCTGTCTTCATTTTTGCGCTTATTAATTTCACGCCCAATATCAAGAACTCTGTGTAAACTTGCCTCTCCGATTATAAAGAAACGGATCACAAACCTTAACATCCTTAAACAAACTGGCAACAAACAAACAGACAGACAGACAAAAACAGAGAGGCCCTTACAGTATGCATACATAAAAGTATATTTGTACTTACTTATTACTACCCATTACGCCATCTGGCGTTTAGGGCAGCAACAAAAGATCTCCAGCTCTGTCTGTTTTTGGCCATCTTGGTCAGTGTTCCCCACGAATGATATTCGTACGGAGGCAATCAAACCACAGACGATTGCGCCTATCGAGGGTTGTTTTTTTTTACCCACTGTTGCATGAACGCAAGAATTATGAATCAAATTACTTGTATTCTTTCGAAACCATTCTTTAAGTGTTGACTGTTAAACCAGATGCCGGTAGTTGGCACGTGCTCTGGTGTGATCTACTCCTTCTTTTCTATCAAACATCTCTATCATGGCGCTCATATGACCTTATGATGTTGCGAGCACCGTAAAACCTCTACTAAAACTAAACTAAAACATCTATCGTTCTTTTCTTTCTTACTTTTTTATGTGCTTGTTACTCTCTTGTAACACATGTAATCTTCGGAACTTATACGACCTTATTGTGTTGCAAGTGCTGTAAAACTCTTACCAAAACTAAAAACCAGAGGTAGGGTACGGGAACAAGGAAAATAAAGAGTTAAATAGAGTAACAGCTTTGACGAATCATACGACGTGATAAACTGTCCTTTTAATCAAACTTAATAACGCTTAACGCCTACGGTCTAAATTGCTGGGAAAGGAGAATCGGCCTATTAAACTGTAGTAGACGCACTTTTCGAACTACACTATGGCCTACACACCCCGTGCCGAGGACACCAGAACTTGGTAGCCTCGCCCCGTACTATAGGAGGAGTCAACGGCGCGTTTTATATTGTTTTGAAAACTGCACATAAACGTTTGTATTAAGGTAATCGGCTGAATAGCGTCACCTCAGCTGATAGCGTTTGGACTGTATTAATAATTTACTTACATGTTTTGTCAGTGATGATAGAACACAGGGCTAATTATAATAGAGCACATGGCTATTTATATCGATATAACACACCTTAGTGTAATGTTAAATCTAGTTTTAGTTTGAGTTTTGGGGCACTTCAAACACAATTATTTAAGGACATATAAGTGCCAAAGATTAGATGTGTTACAAGAGAGTTACAAACACACACAAAAAAGAGGAGGGATAAGGATGATAATCAATGATATAAGTTTGAAAGGAATTAAAGAATTAGATGGAGCAAGTCACGAAACAGAGCACCCGTCAACCACTCACTTAGTTTAACGGTAGAGGTGAGTGCAAGAAAAGTACAGCGAGGTTCAGCTTTCTTTCTGTCGGGTCAACTCGAGTCTCTTTATGTGTGGCATATAGTTTTGTGACGGTACCAGCCCACCTGACGGTCTATCGTGAGGGTGTTATTTTTTTTTTTTAACGTACTTGACAATCTCACGCGGGATTAACCTGACAATTTCCACTTGGCGGTCTTCTAGTCTACTAAAATCTATAATATAATCCTGACCCTAGCCTTAACCCTTACCTAACGTTAACCTTAACCTTAACATTCACCTTCACCGGTAGGTCTATACTCATCGATTTTGGAAAAAAAGATGAAAAGTGACTTTTTGAGAAATTGGTATTTATGGAAAGTACAACTATTATACTTCACATTCCTGGGCGCACGCGCTCAGCCACCAGGAAAACGAATACCGATAGCCTACCACCTTATTAGTAATTCTTGGCTGAATTAATGTATACAGAGTACAGTATGTATGGATATAATGATATGCGGAAAAGGCTCACGGGCAGGGGATTGTAATCATTA